AAATCGCCATGACACGAGCACAGAGCTTTAGTGAGATGAGCCTCATCCTTCAAACAGGGTTTGATACTGCTTTCTTTAAAATCGGGGCCATGCCGAAACCAGAAATTCATTTATATTACTATTTCATATTAGGGGGACTTACAGTTCGTATGAAAGTGAATGAAGAAGAGATTTGTTGGTCGATCTCGCAAGACGAGGACGGATGAATCTCGTTGTACTGCAGCCGTTTGGCCGTTTCGGGGGAAAACGCCTTATGCACTGCGTCAACGTGAATATCGTATAAAAGCCAAACGGCTGCAGTACAACGAGATTCATCCGTCCTCGTCTGGTGAGATTGACCAACGAATCTCTTCTTCATTCACTTTCATACGAACTGAAAGTCCACCTAACAATGTTATCTTAAGAGATTCATCGAAACCAAGTTTCTCTCCGTATTTACTATTTCATAGGCAGAAAAGCCATCTTTACACAACTTAAGCGTATCATCACTTTCATCAATCTCTGCTGCGAGGTGTTAGGATTTCAGTAATAAACAACACCAAAATTTCGTCCAACATGATTGCAGAAACATTTCAGAGGAGCCATTTGCATAAGAAAAAGATTGAGCAACTTATGGTGTTCCATTTTTAAAATCCTACTTCTTATGCTGTATTAGTCAATGTATTTCATTGAATGACGTTCGTTCCCATCAAGAAATAAGTATCAATGCTTTTTCTTCGCACTCGTCTTGAGTCTGGAATTTCAGGTTAGAGGGAAATTTTTGGGACGCTGTACCAGTCTATGCTTTATCCAAAGCTCTATTGCATCCTTGAGGTCGTAGGTGTCCCGAGGCAGAGACGCCATTCACCCGAACAACTGACCCTAGTGCCAATGACTCACGGAGCAGGTATGAGTGGTAAAACCAAGACCTATATTTTGCATCAACAGCAGTTTCTCTGGCTGGATAGTTTCATGAATTATGGCGAAGCAAAAAACGTCGCATCCTCTAAGCCCATCTTGCCATGTCTACGTGTGAATAACATAATACTTGCATACATTGCCTCGAAAATCAAGCAAATAATGAGTATGGCCATGAAACGCTTGACCTTAAATGGCTAGTTCATTCCTACTCGTCGCACGCAATCAGGCAACTCATAAAAGTTTTCTTAGCCAGCGAGTAGTATGTGACCTGACTCGGCTGATTTTGGTATCTGTTGTCTGATCTAAACAGGCATCCATAGTCTCCGTCACTCTCCTCTCCTTCGCATCCTCTCGCCTCCCTCCACTCTCTTCTGCTCCGCCTCTGCCCTACCGTTCTCCGACCCCCTGTCGCTCAGTCCGAATTCCCTCGAATCTGCCCCATTCACCTCTTCGCGATTACCACCAGCACCATTGACGAGGCTGTTCGCTGTCTCTAGGCCACTGGCCACGAGTATCCAGTCGCAGGGTGGCTAAACGATTGACCATCGACTTATACTGGGTCAGTCAAGTGTGGACAAAAGTCTCGATTTTATGTGATTATTCAGCTCTAAAAAGCTTACAAATTTGCTAAAAATATTGTCAAAGTATCTAGTCTCGACTGGCTTTTTAATCGACTGGTAGTGAGCCTGACCAGGATGAGGTGAATAGAGGGCTAGATTTTTTAAAATTTCACTTTTAAAGGCATCCCAAAAGGCTGAGCTCAGCTTTAGGCTCATCGTCTCGTCACAACCTTGAGCAGAACTCGAACCTTTGTCGTGAAGGCTCAGGAAATAAACTAATCAGCCCATTGTGCTACACGGCAGCGCGACCTTCAAGGCAAAGCAATTCTCATTATTCAATCCACATCATTCCGTGGTGTATGCCGTATCTACAGTCCAATAAACCCGGCACACTACTGATGCATGTAGTCAATAGACTTTTTCTTCAAAGCTTTCAAGAGACTAACCGTTGCCGAGATATCAAGCTATGCATCTTCGAAGCAGAAGCTTCCCATCTGAAGACTGGGCCGCAATTTTTTTGCCTCACCTCATCGCAAAACTACCCTCCCCAGTGGGATTACAATCTTATAAACAAGGGAATATGAAGCAAACCCACCAATCTCCAAGCAATACGACGCTAGCCCAGGTGTATTACGCGGTAAGCATGATTTGGAGGGTAATGCAAGTCTCACACCATTTTGTAGGGAAATCCGTATCCATAGTACAATACAGTCGATACACTATTGACACATGCAGTCGGTAGCGGCTTTTACCAAAGCTGTCAAGAGGCTGATTGCTGTCGAGATATCATCCAAGTGATAGCTTCAAAAAAGTAACTTTTGATCTCAAGACTGCAGTTTTGATCTGGCCTCATCACCTTTCCTCGGACGTGAGGGGATGGGAAGCATACATATTGCTTGCCATTCAAACCTCCCTGGAGCCTAAGGCGACAATGGGACAAGGTCGAAACTGCAGTCCAAGCAAAAATGACAATAACGGCCTTTGGAAGGGTCTGGAAACGTGAAATTTAAAGCAGAAATCATGTCTTATCTTCCATTCGTCATGGATAAACTTGCTGTCATTCCAGCAAGAGACTATTAAAAACTTATTTTTGCCCCCACAACACTCAGTCCATAGATAGACTCAAAATTAAAATCCACTGCCGACAATTGCCCATAACAGGCTTCCAGACGGGGTGCTATGGAAGACAGGCTGATGTTAATCAGGCCGAATAACACCTCGGTACTTGTTGTTGAAAATGGCAGACATTTATTAGCTTCACCAAATAAGTATTCCACACTTACAAGTGCAATATCATTTCGCGGGTAACTTGTGAGCTTCACTTGAAGAAGATGAGCTCCAATGATATCGTCAGATCATACCTCACTTCCTGGCGAGTAGTTTAACCTTCCATTGGCACAAATTAAGGTATCAAGTGGCTCTTGGTCAAATTCAATGGTAACAATAATTGGTATAGCCTGAAGATAATTCATTAAATGCAATGTTCAGAGGAATTTTA